ACCACCAAGCAAGTCCTCTCTCTTCCCACTCCTCCTTTTCAATCCTTCCTCCCCCCTCCTCACCCACTCCTCTGCAGGCTTTGGAATTCTGAGAAACCACAGGGTTCACTTTTCCCTTGTTGCTAGACCTTGATTTGACTCGGGCACATCACACAATCTGCTATGCCCCCTTTCTCCCCTCCCTCCCTTTCATTCACCTTCCAATTTTGTAATGTAGTCCCACAAAAAAAACATTGATTCACCTGTAGGCAGGATGTCACAAGGTCCTGTCCATAATGCTCCAGGTCTGGCTCTCCGCTGTCATTACCTCCACCTGACTTTTGCTTTCACCTCTTTTTCTTAGTTTACATGTAGAAAGTATTCTTGTACTAGTCTCTTAAACTTCACTCTGTTGCTGTTGCTGTCCTTGGCTGCTACATTCATTTACCCCTACTAAGAATGTTTCTCATACCTTTTTATCATTGAATACACATCTTTTTTCACTTATGGTTAAGCTCAGATTTACAGAATAGGGCACCCTCAGCTTTGAAACACATTACTCTATTCCCTCCTGCGTTTCCTGCTGGGTGCACAATATTGTATTATTCAAATTTCCTTTCCTTGTATATGAAAGTCTTTCTCCTGGTCATTTGCAGAACCTGTTTCTGAATTGAATTGCTAAATTAACCATTATGTGTCTTGGAATTTGTTGCCTTGGATTTTTTTCTGAAGGTTATATACAAATTCTTTCCATTGTTTAGAAGTCTCCATGTTCAGAAGTTCTGGGCAGTTTTTTGTATTTTTTTTCATCATGGTATTCAAGGTTTTTTTTTTATTTGTCATGTTCTTGTGGGAGAGCTATGATCCTTAGGTTTTCTCTATACCTCCTGTCTTCAAGATCAGAATGTTTTGTTTGGGTAGAGAGATATTTTCTTTTAATATTATTGGTTGGTTTTTTCTTCTTCTTCTAGATTGTCCTTCACTTCTGTCTATTTGCATTGTTGTCTTTTTTGTTTGTGTGGTAGGATTTACCATTGCAAATTCCAGTTTTTCTATTTTGCTCACTATTTTTGCTGTATAGGCCATAAGTTCTACTATAATAATTCTCATTTCTCTTTTAAACCACTCAAGGTGTTGTAGTTCTATGTTCTCCTCAAATTCAGCAAGGTCCTCTGTCTCATCAATTTTTGCATCATTTGCCCTTTTTTTGTAGTATTTATTCATAGATGCTGGAACTTGTTTATTAAATCTGGAGGCCATATTTCCTTCTGCTGTTAATGTTTTCCCGGTTGATTTATCTGTTAGTGATTGGGGTTTTTGAGTTTTCTTCTTTCTGAAATCTTTGGTAATTTCAGTCTTTTCCCCCTTATTTTCCCCTTTTGCTCATTTTCTGATTCCTTCCCTTACTCTCCCCATCCTTCCCCCCTACCCCAAGATATACACATGGTATACTCTCACATTCCTTCTGCACCTTAATTCTCTGGCCCAGCAGTTCAGAGCACTGCCACACTGGTGCCAGTGCAGCCAGGGCTGATTTCTGTTGTTTGCAGTTGGGGTCTCTGAGACTCTGGGAGGAGGTGAATGTGGGGTGTGGGGTTGGGCATTATTTCAAGCCCAGATATGTGTTCTGCCTTTTTTCCCTTTGTTCCTCTCTTCTCCTGAAGAGATCTTCTATAGCATAGAACTCTGCCATAGTACTAGTGACCAAGGCCCCCACAAAATTCTGTAGCCTGGAGCTAGATCTCCACTGCACTGAAAAGAGAGAGGGGACACCATGGTGTGGAGTTGAGTTTACTGCAAACCCATGGGTAGAGTCCTTGGGTCAGCTAGTATAGCCTTGATGCTGGTAGCATAATGGGCAATGGGTACAAGGGTACTGAATGAGCTCAGGGTACGCATCAGTTTATGTTGTTCTTTTAAACCTTTTGGATATCCTTGACCATGGAGACAACTTAAGTATCTTTGGAGTATAATTTCTATTTTGGAGAGTTTTGAGAGGTCATGAGGATTGGAGAAAATATCTAATCCTCCATCTTGTTGGTCACATGACTTGGAAATGTTCTTGTTTCTATTATCAATAAGAAAGTTACCTAGGCAAAATCATACTTGCTGATTTTTTAAAATGTTTATAAAGTTAGGGGCCATATTTAGCTAAAATATTAAATATGGGAGATTCGCTGAAACTTCTACCCTGCCCTCATTGTTTTTACGTCTTTGCTATCATAAATTTCTGAATATCTAGATACATATTTCAAACATACAAATAAACACTAACCACATAAATGAATACCAATTCTAGTCTTAGTCATTTTGCATATTGAAATATAACAATAGATATTCTCTTGTGGGTAGTGATAAACTGCTATTTACTCACAGAGATTATGGCTTGGGATCTATCCAATTAAATAATATATAGAAGATGTGAAAAGACATGTTTTCCTTTTTAAAAATTCTATACACTGCATGGCACCGAATCAAATGACAGTGTGTGTGTACTCTAGCATAATATTGACAGCATCCATGATTAGGGCTTAATCCAAGTTAGCCATTACCTTAATTTTTACCAGATTCTTCAGCATGTTATTGAGTATTCATTTTGTTAATGTTTTGGCATATGTGTTCAGGAATTTGAAAATACTAAACGTGAATGGAAATGCTTCTAAAAAAATTGTTTAACTTTCTAAGTTCTCAAATCACTACCATATAAACATAAAAGTAAATTCATTACAGTTAAAGACTGGTAGAAATTAAAAAGGGAAAAAAAAGAAATACTAAATCATAGAATCTAAGAATTGAATGTGGCCTCAAAGGCCATTTAGTGCAAGCTCAATTGAACAAAAATCCCCTCTACATCATACCCAATTAGTGGTCATTCAACCTTTGCTTGAAGTCCTTCACTGAGGAGGCCTTTTCCACATTGGGATAGCTCTACCTGATAGGATGCTTTTCCTTACATTAAGCTAAAATCTGTCTTGGTAACTTAATTCTTCTCACTTCAGCCAAACATAACAAATCTAATTCCTTTTCTATAGACAACTCTTCAAATACATGATGGCAGCTATCCTATCTCCTCCAAGTCTTTTCTTCTGGAAGCTAGATACTCCCATTTTTAATCTTCTATCCATCTTTATATAGCACAAACTTGAGGATCTTTCACCATCCAACTTGTACTTCTCTGGATGCTTTCCAGTTTATCAGTGTTTTCCCTAAGACTTAGTTCCTAAGACATGGTGCCCAGAACTGACCATCTTACTCTGAATGTTGTGTAATGTGTAACATGTGTAGCATGAAACAGTATTATATTAGACAGTCATAAGTAGGTTTAGAGCTAGGAAGACAAGTGACAATTAATATATGCCATAGAAAACTTCCTGAGATTTATCAACTTGATCTGTAGATGGAGTTCCCACATTGGGATGCTATCACCATATAAACATCAGTTATTAAATGTATAACAGGAATCATTTTTTATTCTGGTGCTTAAAATTGCAACCATCATCAAGTAATAATATCTAACAAGAGGTACAATGCAAATGATTTAAAAGTCAAAATTGTTGAAACTATGCAAATTGAATTACCCAACACTCAATATATTTTACTTTTTTCATGATGCTATTTTACGTTTATGAATTCATTTACACTTTTAGTAACCTGAAAGTAGACTCCTAAAGAAATGGAGCAGAAAACTGCTTCTCTTGGCAGTCCACCAAAGCTTAGTGTTTTCTTAGGTTACTGAATTCTACTGAAATTAACTTCAGGAATATAATTCTCACTTTAAGTGTATTATTTCATATATATTGAGCATAAATTATATTAAGCCCCTCACTTGGAAATTTGAAATAAATATTATCTTGCTTCAGAAATTTAATAGAGAAAGAATTGTCTGGATCCATGTATATGACCAGAATATCCACCATAATATGTCAATAATATTTCATGACAAAGTCACTCTTCATCTTCTCTAGGAAGATAGGACCACATTGCATTGTGATACTAGTTCCTTTAGCTCTAATACACCTACTTTTCCTTCTCATCCCTATGGATCAGACAGAAGGGAAGAGGATGTTGGAAAATCAATATTGTACAAAACCACCATGATGTCATATTCCCCAGACCCCAAAGTACCACATAAAGGTATAGTCCAGGAGAGGTTAGAATCTTGTGGTTATAGTCTTCTGAATGTAGTGTTCCCTAGCTCTCCTCTGACAAACTAAAATGATGTTCCTATTCCTCCAAAATCAAGATGTAAGAAGTAATGTTCTTGCCTTATCTAGCTGGGAGCAAAGATGCAATTGGTAACCAATAAAATAAAAAAAAATGCTCTGGTAACAACAGCCACCAGCTACTCATCTGACAGACTTGGACACCAGAACCATAACTAGGATAGGATGACAGGTGCATAGCCCTAAGGCACTGAAATTTAGATGGTGTATGTCATGCTGCTAGTTTTTATGTACTGTTTGTCTCAAGCACCAAAATTGCTAGTTATAGTTCTGTTAGTCATTCTTCAATGAATGGAGAAAAGTCACAGAATTTTAGAAAGAGCCATCAGCGGCCCTTTAGTTCACCTCATACTCCAAAATGAATCCCTACTACAAACGGACAAATGGTCATCTAGCTTGTAGTGCCCCAATGGCTAGAGATGGGGAGGACGGAGGTACAGTATACTCCCTTCTGCCACTATTAAACAGCTCTAATTGTTGAAGTTTTTCCTAACATCACATCTAAGATTGCCTCTGTAGTTTTTATCCGTTGCTCCTGGTTCTTCCTTCTAGTGCTTGACAAAATCAATTTAATCCCTTTTCCACAGGGCAGCCCTTCAAATGCTTGAAGGTAGATCTCATGAAGCTCTGTTCTATTCTTAGATGGCCCTCTGGAATCATGAGGGAGAAATGAGCTAAAGATAACTATAAATCCTTTATTGTTCATGCTCTATTTCTGATGTGAAGAATCTATTATGGAATGATCCCTCTCCTATAGTATTGAACTTATAAAAGGAAACACAATGCCAGTTTGCATCGTAAGTGTTTTATTTTTCATATATCATAACTCAAAAGTTGGGTTTTCTACTAATATGATATGTCAATAGAGGAAAATCAATGGACTTCCAAATGACTAACACAGGCTCTAAAACATCCTATTTGAAGAAGGAAGTGAAGGCATCACTTTTCAAAGTATACTTTAGAGATCAAAATGCATTGTAGGTAATGAAATATGTATTAAGTTCAAAACTCAGAATATCTTCTCTCTAGATAGCTATCATCCTTTTTATTAGACATTTACTGAGCATTAAACATGGCTATTTATGTAGGAATAGACATAAAAACACCCCCCACAAAATCCAAATGATAAAGTGCAGACCGGCACCAAGAGACAGGTCTGGTAATTCAGTCATCTGCAACACATCACATGCTACACACACACACACACACACACACACACACACAACCCCAAATACAGAACCCCCAAAATCAGCACACAGGAAGTGATGTTCCTGCCCAGATGGAAGCCAAGCTGCAATGGAAGTCAAGAAATTCTTAAGTAGATGCAGCCAGTTGTCAGCCTGACAGACTCAGAGACCAAAGACATAACTTGGGCAAGGTGATTGGAGCTATCAGAAAACTAATAACACTCTAAATTCTCTTAGCAGTTCAGCTACCTAACATTTTGCAGAATGGTTAAGCCATTTAAAAACAACATATGGATGCATATATGTCCATACTGCTTTCCATTTTTGTTCTGGTTGATACAGTAAATCAGGCTTATATTTCAGAAGGGAAAAAAGACTTACACCAGTGGTTTATTAGAAAGGAAACAAATTAAACAGAGCTACACTGATAACAACAGATGTCTGATTATAATTCACTCCCTAATGTTGATTAAGACAATTCTGTTGCCAAAAGGAAAATGCTACTGTTAACACCAACAGCTACCAGTTAAAATTGTGCTTTTCCATCAGAACAAATGCTTTTCCCTCAGATTCTAAAGCTATTAATTTTGCTTCTCACTAATCTAGAGAATAATTCTTCCTTCATGTTTTCTTAAAAGTTTTTTTCTATGTTTGACTACGCTGTCTACACAATCATTTGCTATCCAACTGCCATTATATATATTTTAAACTGCAAATTTTTCCTGCGTATGAGGAGGGATAAAAACAATTAAAAGTGAGATTGCATCAGTCTGTCAGAGTCTACTTAACACCAGATCCCATCCCTCTGTATGTGGCAAACATCTCTTTGTCCTTAAAACATCATTGGCAAATCCAGATGCCCCAGTCTGGTTGCTATGAACTGCAGTAAATATCCTAGGATTAGTTTTTTCAGCTCATTGGGGACATTTTCTCCATGATTAGTGAAATAGAATATATATATTTATATATTTTTAACATTTTGTACCCAGACCAAAAAAAAGCAGAAAACAGAAAGGAAAATAAGACTAATATCAGTTACAATTTGATTTTGTAGTAAACAATTGAGTATAACGTGCAATAGTGCAATTTTTCCTTTGCTGCTCCAACAATGCAAGTCTTACAAGGGAGTCCATTGGTTTTCACGTTTCTCGTTTCACATTCAGTTGCGTGCTTGCCGCTGATTATTGTTCCTGCCAGACTTCTGTGTGGAATCACTTTGACCAGATTCAGTTTTGCTTAACCCAATGTGACGGAGCTTCAGATCCCAACGCTGTGGAATTTAAAACAGAAAATGTTCATACCTCCATGCGAAATAATAATTAAAAAAAAGTCTTGATTTCTCAGTTGTCCTAAAAACTGAGTAATTCCACAAAAGTGAAGCATCAATCCATAGAAACAACTTAATTCAACAAGCATTTATTAAGTGCAATACACTATTTAGGTACTGGGGTATACAATAGACCAAACAAAAAACAGTGTCTTTTCTCAAGAAGCCAACAGTCTACTCACTGAGGATATACAACACAAGCTGCTTGAGGGCAGGAAACATTTGCTTTTTTTTTTGTCTTTGGGCCCCCAGAGTCTAACACAGCACTTTGCATAAGTGTATATGGTAGGCATTTATGAATGCTTGAACAGGATTAAACATTTAAACATTCAATCAACAAGTCAGTCAACAAGTATTTATGAAGTGCCTACTTACGTGAAAACTCAGGATACAGTGAAAAGCAAAAGACATTCCTTGTTCTCAAGAAATTCACAGTTTAATGGGGAGACAATGCGAAAACTATGTGTAAACAAGATATATGCCAGATAAACTGGGGATAATCAGAAGGAAAGTACTGTAAGAGAGATCAGGAAAGGCTTGGAGAGAAGGTAAAAGTTTAGCTGGATTTGAAGGAAGCCAGCAGGTGAGATGAAGAGGAAAAGAGTTCCAGCTATGAGGGACAGCCAGTGAAAAAAGGCTCAGGAAGGAGAGAGCACCAATGGCTAGGAGGATCATGAAAGGCTTTCCATATGAGTTAACCTAAAAGAATCTCTCTTCAATTTTGTTTGTACTTCTTCTATGCACTATACATAGGTATGTGTGTGTGTGTGTGTGTATACATATATATATATAAATATATACACACATATATACATATGCATATATATACATATATACACAGTATTATAGACATTTAGAGTCTTGTCTCATATCCCCTAGACTGTACTATCCATGGGCACAGCAGCCATGTCTCTTACCTTTGCATCCCCAGCTGTAGTCTTTTCATAGATGTTTTTTGAAATTATTCTTTTCAAAATGTATTAAGCATCTACTATGTTCAAGACCCTGTACTATAGGCTAGGCATTCCTCAAAGGGAGTTTCCTTAGCCTCTGAAGTAGGGGAGGATAAGGAAAGGCATCCCACAGTAATAGGCACATGAGTTGAGCACTGAAGGAAACTTGGTATTCTTAGAGGTAGGGGGGAAGAGGGAGTCCATTACAAAAAGCTAATCCAAAAGCAAGAAGGTAGAAGATTGGAATAAAGAATTTAGGGAAAAGCAAATTGACCAGTTTAACTGGAACATAGGTTAGGAAAATTAATGTGCAAACCTGAAAAAGAAGACTGGCATAAGGCTCTTACTCAGGTTAATGCCAAGTTGAATAGTCTTTTTTATCCTTGAGGCAAGAGGGAGTCATTGAAGGTTCTTGAATGACATGGTAAGATTTGTGCTTTAAAACCATTATTTTACTAACTATTGAGATTGATTGGAGAAAGGAGAGATAGACTTCTAAGAGATGAATAAGTTATCCTTCTGCTTAATTCTTGAGTTTCCTCTCAAAAGCTTCAGGATTCTTTCTTGCAAGATACTCAGGATAGGAATTTATACTCCCTTTAAATCTCTATTTTGGAGGGCATGCTTGAAAATAAAGAATGCACAGTCTATCATGTAAATGCTAATGTTTCACCAAGGGAGCAGAAGACTGACTAATAAAAGCATCAAGCATTCTAGTGTTTGTTACTATAATATAATTGACTTACTATCTGTGTGACCCTGGGCAAGTCACTTAACCCTGATTGCCTCACCAAAAAGCAAAAAACAAAAACAAAAACTGCACGTATAATATAATTGATTTTGTGACAGACAGAAGAACAAATTTAAAAATCTATTTCCATTGTCAAATTACCCTATATTAAAATAGCCTTTCCTGTTTGCTGACATCTTCTAATCAATCTTGTTAAAGAAAAGGGTAGGAACCTTTCATTTTCTTGGTGTTTTTTTATATTAAAAAACACTGTATCTCCCAATTCATTTTTATTTCAGCAACCTGTTATGATATAGACCTAACAATTTCTAAGTTGAAAAACTGCAAAAAAATATGTTTTAATTAACTCTTGGGCTAGCAGCTAAGATGGAAAATTAGCATACTGAAAATGATCACTTTTCTATCTCAGGAAGCCTGACTTATGTTCACCATGAAACACATAAAGCTTTGTGTAAACATACACAAATTGAACTGGAAAACTGAGGCAAGGATTTCAGTCACTCAGGTCTCCCCACCTCTACTCCCATTGCCCCCAAAATACAGGCCTGAATTGCCCAAGTGACTCAGTTCTTCACTTTGTTTTGTCTTGCATGGACCCATTTATAAATAATGAACCATCTTGCTGTAATACTTCTGCAAATTCCTTATGAATTATGATGGGAAATGACATTATGTTCCCTGCTAGGAAACAGAAGCAGAGGGTGGCATGTCCTAGATTTTTCAAATGATAATTTATGACTGTTATTTTGGCATGAGGAACAGCAAACACTATTAGATGACCTAAGTCAAGGGAGTAATGAAAGTTCTTCAAATGAGCACAGGAATTTAGGACAAATTCCTGTTCTGCATCAGCAAGCAGAAAACAGAGACAATAAGAAATCCCAACATGGTTGAAGAAGAGTGTTTTTCTTTCATGAATGCCAAAATTAGTGAAGAGAGTTGGTTATATGGAGCCCTGCCTGCCTGAACTTGAAATCAACCTTGCTTTCGACAAATATATTGGGAAGCAATAAGGAGGAAGATGGGGGTGGAGATGGGGATGGGGACTCATGCAAAATAAAGGCCTTTGCATTTTTTTAAGGTCACTTAAACACAGACTTGTCTGCTGTATCAAGTGCCAGATGTACAAGATAAACTGCCCAAGGGTTGTTTAATTTAAACACTAAATGTTTCCCAAGCCTTCAAGCTTGTGGAAGGGAGAGGATATATTATACTTGGTCCAGTTTTCATCCTTTTTTTCAGATTCTTTGCCCCCTTATGAACATGCCTTCCTCCCTCACATTCTTTTCCTCTAAACAGAGCTGATAAGTTTAACTATGTTAGTGCAGCAGGAAGAAAAATGAAATCTTTCATTGGAAAAGAGTGTTCTGTCCCGCTTTTAAAATTTATCAGCCCCTGGGATTTGACAGTCATGAGTTTTAAAGGCTAGACTAAAGTTCTGAGGGACTCATTCAGCTCTCAGATACGTAAATGAATCATGCAATTTACTGAATTGATGAACATAAATGTCAAAAGATAGACTCATTTTCTTAGCACATGTACTTTCGATTTTAATACTGCCTACACTTAAAACATGGCAAAAGGGCACCTGGCCTACTTAAATGGCACCAATCTGTTTTCTTTATTTTCTATTATGGCTTTCAGGATGTAAAATATAGGCTTACCTTAACTTTTTTACCAAGACGATCCTTCCATTTCTCAGCTATTGAACCTTCCACCAAGAGCAACCTGCATTTTGCAAAGAAGCAATATATAATAATATACGTGTATATAAATATATGTGTGTCTTTATGTATGTATTTATAAGTACATTTGCATTTATATCTATATACATATATATTTTATATTCTGCACAAATATATAGGCACATTGTAATCAATAAAAATTATAATGGAGTAATAGTAAAGAATGCCTCAATTCCATATTCCATGATTCTCCTGGAACATTATTGAGGGAAATCTAATATTGACTTCTTCAAGCAAAGCCAAAATGGCTGCAATTTGAGGAGGGGGACAGGAAGCAAAATGTAGTATGTTAGGTAATTGGCAACAAATACCTAGAGCGTTCTTCATCTTCATAGCCCATGATGAGATATTCCTCATTAACACTGAGTGGAGGGCATAAGCAACCTGAATTTGTGTAAAGATTAATTGTGTCCCTTGGGATGTTCACTAAAGAAGATTTCAGAATCTCTTTTACTTCCACTACTGCAGTGACATCATGGCACTTGGTCTTTACTTCCTTCACTTTTGCCCGAATAACTGAGGAGAAAAAAAGAGGAATAAAGTTGAAATCATAATAATGTAATACGCATTCAAATCAGGGTCCCTTGTTTGCTGATTTCTGTGAATTTAAATTCTATTTCAGCCAGGGTCCAATGAGCCATACTAAAGTCAATGAGAAGAGATACAGATAGATAAATCAGAAAACACTTGGACTGAACTTCAAAGTCGTTTAAAAAAAAAAACATGGCATGTGGGTTGTGGTGTATCCTTGGAATCCTTATTACTGGCAGGACTGAGGCTGAGGATCACTTGAGCTTGGGAGTTTGAACTACAGTGGGCTAAGCAATTAAACATCCATACTTAGTTTGGCATTAAGGCTGGAACACAGCTCAGGTCAAACCTCCCATGCCAATCAGAGTGGGAACAGCCATGAGTAATCTTTGCACTTCCAGCATGGGCCAAAAAAATTTATTCAAAAACATGTGTGTATAGGCTCTATTGCTTCCTATAAGGATTTACTATATATAGTCAGCATTAAATCCAATGTATATAAGGACGGAGAATCAGCATGGCATAATGCATAGTCAGCATTAAATCCAAATGCTGGCATAATGGATGGGGTGAGAGATTTAGAGTCAGGAAAAACTGGGTTTAAATCCTGCTTTTGACACATACTAGCATGTGGCTATAGACAAGATGCTTACCCTTACACAACCTTCTAAGACATCTACCAAAGTGTAGATATATTCCATCAGACAAAAATCACAGACCTTTAATAATGATGATGATAATGACATTTATAGCTCATTTTAATGTTTGCAAAGTGCTTTACAAATAATACTAACTAATTTGATCCTCACAACAACCCTTGGAAGTAGGTGTTATTATTATCCCCATTTTACATGTGAGGAAACTGAGTTGTGACTTGCCCAGCACATAGTATCTCAGGTTGGATTAGAACTCAGGTCTTCCTGACTCCAGGTTTAGTATTCTATCTACTGTGCCACCTAACTCCCTTCATGTACATAAAGATGTACTATTGAAATTCACAGCATTTGTCTTGATTTCCCTCTTATTTATTAAAATACTTTTCTAATGAAAGTAGGATAGTCTGCTTAGCATCAGAAATGCAGCTTTAATGATATTTCTGTAACTATCATTATTACCATCATCAATTTTCCTTGCCCTATTTGTATGACATTTCAAATTTGTACCCACCAATCTATAAGCATTCTGATCTTCAGATAAATGTGCCTTCACTGCCCACCTATTTCTTCCTTTCCTACTTTGTTTCATTACAGATTTTCTTATATTCTTTCCTTAAATTAGCCTTCGGCCTCCTGCTAAAAGAGAAGACATAACACTTTCTTCTTCAGGTGACTAGATCTGCCCTCCTTTATTTAAAAAAAAATTATCATTAACCTAATTATCAACAAACACAAACATTCCAAAATACAAAGAACAAAATTGCCATATGTCTGTCCCCTTCTAAACTTTTTTGGTTTTCTTAGTGTATTTTAAAATGTTTTCTTGATGTTCCTTTCTTACTCCTTATCTTTTTACATCTGTCACCACCTATTCATGTCTCTTGCCAGCAAAAAATGAGTCTTCTCTTATAACAAAAAAAGTAAGCAAAACAAAGTAACATGTTAGCTGTGTCTGAAAGAACATATTATTTTGCACTCATACATAGTTTACCATTTTTCTGTCAGGGAGGTGCAGGAATGGTCACTGCTTTGATCAGAGTTCTAAAGCCTTTCATAGCTATTTTCTTTTTCATCAGTGTGGTCACAGTATAAACTGTTCTTTGGTGTTCTACTCATTCCATTTTGCATCAGTTCATACAAATTTTCCCGAATTTCTCTGAATTGGTCATAGTTGGTGTAATAATATTATATTATAATCACATTTTATAACTTATTCAGCAATTCTCTAACTGATGGGTGCCTATTTTGTGTCTAATTCTTTGCTACAACAATAACAAAATCTATTTTCCTTCCTACCTGCTGAGTGGCTGCTATTCTGGGCATTTTTGTGCTTCTTTCCCTAGTTTTATATTTTGAGTTTTATATAATTAATATAGTATTAATGCTATTAATTTCTGTCCCTACTGAGAGGGACATCATGGCCTAAACTGCCCCAAAAGTGCAGTAATTGAAATATCCATTAAAAAATAAACAACCACAAGTTACACAAAACACAAAATAGACAATTTTGATTATAAGAAAGTGAAAAACTTTTGTGCAAACAAAATCAATTAAACTAGAATAAAAGGAAGCAACAATGGGGGGGATATAATCTTTACATCAACTATCTCGAATAAAAGTTTGTTATATAAAACATGTAGAAAATTGTTACAAATATAAGCCTAAGAGCCATTCCCAGACATAGCAACACTTGTGAAAGGGGGAAAAAAGTCTGGAAGTTGGGTATTCATTAAGAAGGAAATGGCTGAACAAATAATGATATGTTGGTGTTGTGAAATGTTGCTGAACATTAAGAAATGAAAAAATACAAAAAATTCAGAGAAACTTGGGAAGACATATAAATGTATGCTGAGCAAAATAAGCAAAACCAAGAGAACTATACGTACATATATATAGTATATACGTATAATATATTCATCATATATAGTATATACATATAATATATTCATTAATATGCATGCACATATACCTATGAAATATATAATTATGCATAAATTATATAATGTGTAATTATATGTAAAAGTACAGTTATACAGAAATAATTTTATCTATATTAGTGATAATATAAAGGAAAATATAATAAAATATAATATGAAATAAAACAACACAAACCCATTAGAACTCAGATCAATGCAATAGTCAGTCTTGTCTCCAGAGAAATATACTTTCATCTTTTTGGTAGATAAGTAGTAGCATATTGCGGATGTGGAATGAGGCACGCTATGTCAGATATGGCCAATGTGTTGTATTGTTTTTTCTTAACTGTTACTTCTTTGTTACAAGGCAGAATTCTTTAGGGAATGGGGGCTTGAGGGGAAATAACAATGTAAACAAAGCAGCAACAAAATATTTTTAACATATAATAAAACAAACTATAAACCACCCTACTGTCTTTACTATCCAATTGGGAATTGAGGAAGAGGGAAGGTGGAAGAAAGAGAATTTGGACCTGAAAATAAAATTAAATTAAATTTAAAGAATAAATACATTCGAGTCTGAATGATATAGTGAAGAAAACTCTCATTTTGAAGTGAGAACTATCCATGAGGACTAACTCTGTCACTTACTACCTATGTAGTCTTAGCTCATTCACTAATTCTCCTTGGGTTTCAGTTTTATCATCTATAAAATAGGAATAATCCTTATACTATCTACTTTAAAGTTGTTTTTGCTTTTGTTAAGAAAAGTCAACAGTTAATCTTATAGCAATATAAAAGTGCAAGTGATTATTATTTCCTTGAGTGAAATCCAGTGATTTTTTTAAAGTTCTGATTTTTGTTCATTCTGTTTTCCCACATAATAACACAGTTACAAGTTTAAACAGCCAAAGTTCTTGTGGGATTTTTAGTCTTGTCAAAAGTCAAACTATTCAAATCCTCTGAGAGGCCCTTTTTTCTGAGACTGCTACTCAATTTTTAGATAAAAGAGGTTTCAAATAAACATTTAGATGTTTGGATGCTTGGATAAACTGTTCCTTTCAACCTTTCAAGGTTCATTCATTACTGAGAAAGACAGGGACTCAAACAGCATACTCATAATGAAAAGGGATTGAGTTACCCTGCTGAAACAACAGTTCAAAAGAAACATAATTTCTTCAATCTGGATCCACCTTCTCCTCTAAAGCAGATCACAACCTCTCTAAGGCTCAGTGGTTAGCCTACATGAGGAGAGCTATTGTAATTAGAGAAAAATGCTAGTGAAAAGTGACCTTGACATGGGATCAGGAAATCTTAGTTTATATCCCAACTCTAACATTTATGAGCTATATGACACTCTAAGCATAACAAACTCTCTCAATCTTATTTTCCTTATTTATAAATGCACTAAATGCCTCCTAACACGTGCAGAAAATCTGTAGACCTTAAAGCACTTTAGAAATACAGATTGTTATCATTCTTTTGATTTTTTGTGGCCAAAATAAATAATCATCTAGTGGCCAAACCTTTGGTGATGTGTATCTCCAAACAGAGATAGAATGCTCTAGCTAAGGTTAATTTAACTATTGCTACTTAATTCTGGCAAAATGGGTGATAGAGGTGGGATTCTAAAATTCTCAACAGGCTAAGTGTTGGGTTGAATCTATTAAGATGAAATTGAATAGTTGTCAATGTAAAGGGAGACAGCATGGCATAATGGATAGAGAGCTGAACTCAAACCCAGGAAGACCTGGATTCAAGTCACATGTCTGACTTTGTGACCCTGAGAGAGTCATTTAACCTTTCAATTCTCTTGTTGTTGTTGTTCAGTTGTTTCAATTATATCCGACTTTTTGCAACCCCATTTGAGATTTTCTTGGCAAAGATACTGGGAAGGCTTGCCATTTCCTTCTCCAGCTTATTTTACAGATGAAGAAACTGAGGCAAACTGGGTTAAGTGACTTGCCCAGGGTAACACAGTAAAGTATCTGAGGCTGGATTTGAACTCAGGAAGATGAGTTTTCCTGACTCCAGGTCCAGGACTCTATCCACTGGACCACCTAACTGTCCTCTCAGTGCTCTAGGCAACTCTTAAGGTCTAAGTTATAGAGATCTGCTTTGGTAAAGAAAGGGAGTTTCGTCACCAGGGAATTCCCTATACTAATGAAACTATAATTCCAGCCCTTATCTCAATCAATGTAAAGTCTTATACTCTGATTCAAAAAGCCTGTTACAAAAAGTACAGGATGGGGAATGCATGGTTAGGTAGCAGTTTGTCTGAAAAAAGATCTGAAGGTTTTAGTGGACTGCTAGTGCAATCTAATAGGCTGAGAAGCACAGGGTCCCAAAAGGAGGTGATAGTCCCACTATACCATGCCCTTGTGAGACTATATCAAGTACCGTGTTCAGTTCTCAGAATTTTATTGTAGAAAAGACATTGATAAACTGAAGACTATCCTGAGAACAACCAGCATGGTGAAGAGTGTCTAGATCTTGAAATGTCAGGATACGCTAAAGCAATTGGGGGAGTTTAACCAATACGAGAGATAACAGTCAACAAGAAAGCTGTCCTCAATTAACGGAAACACAGCCGTATTCAAGGGGGATCAGATTTGTTCTCCATGACCTCAGTGAGCACAACTAGGGACAATGGACGAAAGGTATAGAAATGAAAATTTCTGTTCAATGTAAGGAAAAACTACTTAACACTTCACTAATAAGGCTTCCCATATTAATAGTCCTAGCCCATCCCTCTCTCTCTAATAAAATCCTCAGAAGTACCAACAAAATTAGTGCATCAATTTGTTTATATTCTATGCCACCTAAAATGGGGCACTAAAGTTTCATAGTAAAACATTTTTAGTACAGAATAAATTTGATTCAATTAACTAATTAATAATGTGCAATTATTTAATTTGCTGCCTTTTTAACATTCATAGTCCCCTAGGGAGACATCAACTTGTACTTCATGAACCTCATCTGTGCTAAAAAGAAAAAGAAGAAAATGCTTACAGGATTAAGTCCTGACATTCCACCAACTACCTCTCTGGCCCTTTTCCAATATTATATTGGTATTTATGATGACTGATATTCTGTAAGAATTTAAAACACTTTTCAAATAAATATTATTTTATGTTTGGCATACTTTTCATGTTAGATATGTTTTTGCATATCACAAATTAATTCATTCAACAAACATTTATTAAGGACCTACTCAAGGTGAGAAGCAGTGTTGCATAGTGGTTACAGGACTGGTCTTAGAGTCAAGAAACCTGGGTTTAAGTAAGGCCATAGGCACATAATTGGCATATATAGAATATGTGTGTGTGTATACACATGAAATTGTGTCAGTCATTGGGATTACAAAAATTAAAAAAGATACTCTCTATCCTCATTTCATGTATATTATATAAAGTAATGATTACTCATAAATTCCATTTCTTGTCCATAATTAACAATTTTTAAATGTACTATGACTGAATAATAACAAGGTCCCAGGAATATTAAAACTTTGAAAAGACAGACCTCTCTAACTTTATATGTTCTTTACAACACATGCAAGTATTTTCTATGTACAACCTTGAAGTTAACAAATTTGATTTTTTCTTGTTTTGAAGTCTGGGGCTGATTATCTTTGTGCAATTAGGACCAAGATATCAGGCATACCCACAGTTCACAAACACATTCTCATTTCTGACTCCATTATAATCATATACCCTTCACAACAGAATATGAAACATTCTGCCTGTACAAATTTAAGGCCAGTATTCAAAGTAACAATCAATTCTTTGACTTCCTAAACCCCATGAGTACTAAATTATACTCCATAGTTACTCTTACCATAGTTATAATTGTTCCGGAAATAGGTCTTCTGTGTGGCTCTTACAGGCTTACATTTGCAGCGTTCTGAAAAAAAGAAAGAAAGATAAGTTAGTTGTAAATAAAGAAAAGTACAGATCTGCCATTTCAAAATCAACTTTCCCTTTTATTTACTGGCTTGCTTCTTTTTAAAGCATGAAACAAATCTGGCAGTTTGTTGGTTCTTCGATGATTGGGATTGCCATTGGGAAATTGCTAACTTCTTTTCATGACTCCAAGCTTCTCAGGGCCATCTTTTTAATACCAGTATTCTTATGGTGATGACATATGGCTGAAAGTCAAGGAATGCTACAGTCTCCACAGAACTGAAAATAAGGATTACAGCAAGAATCTATATAGTGGTTGTTAGCAGTTTGCAACACATTAAAACTAGAATTATACAGAAGAAGTGATGTGAGAATTGACACCAAAGAAATATATGAGCCAAAAAGATGGGCCAGCCAAAGGATACCTTTCTCTTCCAATGTCATAAAAACATAAAGAAGGCCCCCAATTTGTTGGGCTAGCTTCTTGGGCTGAACTTATGGAAGGACATGGACAAGAGTCACATAGGATAGGTAGGCATGGATGAGTAAAGAGCTACAGTGGGCAGCTAGGTGTGCAGTGGATAGAGCACTGGGCTTAGAATGAGGAAGACTCATCTTCATGAATTCAAATCTGGCCTCAGATACTTACTAGCTATATGACCCTGAGCAAGTCACTTAACCCTGTTTGCCTCAGTTCCTAGTCTATAAAAGAGGCTGGTGAAGGAAATGGCAAACCACTCCAGTACCTTTGCCTAGAAAACCCCAAAATGGGATCACAAAGAATCAGATATGACTGAAATGACACAACGTCACTAGAAAGAGTACCCACATTGATGAGATTATGAATCCTACTGGAGTGGGAGTCGATTCTTAGAAATTCATTATGTCTGGTCTCTTTCTCTAGGAAAAGTAGTAAAAAAAAAAACAAAAAAAAAACAAACAAACAAGGTGATGGGAAGGGAAAGGACCGCATGGTCTTATTATGCACTAGACTTTGATATTATGGTAGAAGACCTTGGTTTATCAGCTCACAAATGAAACCAGTTAGAATAACCAAAAGAATTTAGTAGCTGTTCATCATAAATCATTTCACCTCTCTCAGGGACTCCATTTCTTTAATCTGTAAAATGAGTGGATTGGACTAGATGACCACAAGAATCATGTGAGGCTGGTATTATATTTAACAGGTATTATTACCATTTTAGAATTGAGGAAAGTGAGGCTCAAAGAAGTTAAAGGAATGAACTGTGGCAATAATAATAAATGACAATAGCTAACATTTATTTTGTGCCAGGCACTGTGCTAAGTACTTTACAAATATTATCTCATTTTATCCTGATAACAACTCTAAGAGGGAGGCACTATTATTATCTAGAGATGAGGAAACTGAGGCAGAGGTCAAGTGACTTGCCCAGGGTCATATAGTTGGTAATCATTTGAGGCTGAATTTGAACTCAGGTCTTCCTAACGCCAGGCCTGGCTTTATCCACTATACCACCTTCCTGCTCCACACCTCTAGCAAGAAGATTTGAACAAGGTCTTTTGTGAAAGACAGTATATTGCTCATGCCTGCTCAACACAGAAAAAAAAAAATATAGATGACCCAGCCCTAGATTATTCTCTTGACTACCAACAAAGTCACTGAATTACAGAGGTCAACAGTACCTGAAAAGGTCATCTCTCTAAGAAGGGGTATATAATTAACTCAGTCAACTCTATTCGTAGATTTCCAAAGACAAAGGTTCTCCCCACATTTAGTCTCCCCTTTTGCCATTCAGCAGTTCTTCCAAATCATTCTTGCTACCAGCTAGTATACTCCCTCCATGATCTTATGCAGAAATGGACTACACTATAAAAATATTTCAAATTTTTAAAAATGTTATTAAATCATACTTCTGTTATTATGTATCCTCATAAAGCCCTTATGAAACAGATAGTGTAAATAAATTATCTCCATCTGGCAGATGAGGAAACAGACCCAGGGAGGTGAAATAGCTTGCCCACAGTCCCAAAACTAGTAGGTAAATTAAAGCTAGGACTCAAACCCAGCTCTTCTCCCTCCAAGTTCAAGACTGTTTCTGAAATAGCCCCAATTTTTCTTTTTTTTTAAGCCCTTATTAAATGCTTTCCACCTCTCCCCAGTTGATGTAGTTCATTTTGTTATTCTTTTCTTAACCCTCTCCAATTTCTTCATCTTCTTCCTAAAATACAGGTACTGTAATAAGAGCATAGCTAAGTAATGGGAGTAGATGTTTCCTGTTTCAGGCAGGATCATTCTTCTTATTACAAAACAATACCTCCCATCTATATATATTGCTAAGGTTAACCTGTCTCTAAATCTTTAATTTGTGTGAGAATCAGAAAAGTGAAGTGACTTGCTCATGATGGCATAGCTAGCTAATGCCAGAGGCAGGCTTTAACCAGGGCCTTCCTGCCCAATACTCCATTTTCTATTCACTGCTGTTTCTTTTCACAGTGTCACTAGCAATTTTTTAAAAGGCCATTAGAAAGCCTAAATAGTTATTACGACTGTATGAATGCTTCAAAAACTGTAGCTAGGGAAGAACCTGGTGAAATTACATTCTTTTCCTTTGTAGTTGTGGGAAAAGAGGAAGCCTGGTGAGGAAAACTAAATGAAGACAAAAGGGAAGTAAGGGGACTGGTCTTTGGGGCCCACAGAAGAAAAGAAATGGGGTGCCTAGGGAAGTCACTGGGACTGAGAAGTTTTTCTGGAACAGTTATAGAGAAGCAGGATTTTCTAATCCCCAGTAGCTCCTTTCCTAGAGTCCCCCTGGGACTCCTCACTCCAGGGTTCTTGTCTCAGCTCTTCACCTGCCACCACTCCTATTTATTCTTGCTCCTACCTTCCCCTTCCCACATCTCCCAATCCTATCCCATTTCTAGATCCCTCGCCTGAGATTATCAGAATTCATACTAAAAAAAATTGGCCATATAACAGCACATCAGTAAGACGCCTCAGTGAGAAAATACCACATCATGCATACACACACACACACACACACAAACACACACACACACACACACACACACACACACTGCCCAAATGCTTGCTGGTTGACAGTTATACCCACACCCCAACATGGGAGCCCCAAGAATGTCTTGGAGCTTATAAAGTATTTCCTCCTACTTCCTGGAAGGTAGGGAAAGTCAGGGAGGACCCTATTTCCACTGAAGTGGAGAGAGGAATAGATGTGTGCATCTTAAATTATTCCTTTGGATGCATTTTCCCATAAAACACTGCTATCCACAGTCATTTGTTCCTACAGTTCCATTAGTGTGGTGTTATCCTTTCAGGTAGATTATGTATTTAAAACCAAACAAGGAATCTGGTATGGGGAAAAGTGAAAGTCAGGAGACAGAATCACAGAATTTCAGAATTGAAGGTGATGTCAATATCATCTACTCCAACCCATTCCAGAAAAAAAGGATTCCTCCCTACAACATTCTAAACAAATGTCATTCAGCTTCCACCTAAAAGACCTCTAATAAGGGGGCAACCAACTCCCCTGAGAGACAGCCCATTTCATGTATGGATAGCTGTTATGGTGCTTTCCCTTATATCGAGCCTAAATATGTCTCCCTTTAACTGCCAACAGCTGTTTCTTGTTCTTCCTTTTGGGAAGAAAAGAAAATAAGTGTTAACACCTTTTCCACTTGACAACCCTTTAAATACTTGAATACTGTTACCATGTCCCACTGTGTCCTCTTCTCCAGACTCAACATCCTCAGCTCGTCGCCCCCTTCTGGACGCTCATTAGCTTATTAATGACTTTACCTATATTTTGTTCTCTGACCAGGGAGACATAGGTTTGAATTCTGGCTTCAACACTGACAAGTTGTTTGAGCATAGGTAAGCCATTTAGTTTATTTAGGACTTGGTATTTCCTCATCTTTAATATGGAAATGATAATTTCACTTCCTACCTCCTAGTGTTGTCCTGAGGAAAGATTAGTAAACTATTTTTCCCTCTCAAAAGGTTATTGTTAGTTTACTTTGATGGATTTTTCCATTCACTAGAAAGCCCTTAATTAAATCTCATTTGGATGGCTGGGAGGTAGTAATTCACACTAACCTGTGAGTGTCCTTCCTATCATTCCTCCCCTTTTTTGGTCCTGCCCAGGAGTTTGCTTATTTGACTAAGTAAATTTCTGAGCTGGATGTATTTTTAGTGTTTTTTAAAATCATAAAGCTCAGTTTGTGTATGTAATTCTGTTCTCAGGATGGGAGAGCACTATTTCTAGTCCCTACCCCCGTTCCTCAAGTTCTGGTGACAAAAAGAAAATTGGACAGAGTAGTAAACTCCTCTGAGACTTCCTTGAGGCATCCTGGATGTTTTGCAGTGGTGATCTCAATGGCCAGGTCTCCCCACTTTTCCAGTAGGAGGTTCCCAAGTCCCAAATATTCCAGGAACCCCTATACAAGTACCAGATGCTAATAACTCAGGGTACTAGAAGCTGGGACAAGACAGATAAGAGGAATCCTGGGACCATTTTGACTTACAGTGACTCAAAGCCTATTTTTAGATAATAATGGTGGCAGTACCAACCCCTAACTTTAAATTAACAGAAGAAATGAAAACCAAGAAGTGGCTCTTTCCAACCTTTCTTTCCAGCAAGGGCAGCAATTTGGGCCCATGAATTCTTCTTTTCCTCCCTCATTTGAGCATCCCCATTCTACCACGCTAACTCCGGAAACATTGGGCATAGCTGCAATAATGGAGGCACTGACAGGACTTTATGTATAATAGCCATGAAGTATGATAATGACTAATGTAACAATAACAGACATTTTAATAGGTCTGGGCAGTGAGGAGACATAGTAGGGACCTAGAGACAGGAGACCTGAATTCAAATCTGACCTCAAACACTAACCAGTTGTGTGACCCTGGGCAAGTCACTTAACATGTTTGCTTCAGTTTCCTCATTTGTAAAATGGGGATACTAATAGCACTCACCTCAGAACTGCTGTGAGGATGAATGA